CCCACAAATATCTGAATCATGGGGTTCTTCTCTGTGCAGGCTGCTGCTATTTTTCAAATCAAACACACATCCACGTCATCCATTTGCAGATCCTTTGACATGATCTGTGAATGGAGAAACTACAAGTCCCACCAGCCACCGCAGCAGATGAATTTGTAGTTCTCAATGAAACTGTGCTGATGTGGCAGCACTTGTAGTCCACTGACACTTTCTCCCATCCCTGTTACTGAATGTCCGTATGGCCGGAATAGTCTGCAGGAGCTACAATCCACTGAACGCGGTTTTTACTGGCTTTACTGCCTCCAATGCAAAAAAATAATAAATGCACTTTTTTTCTGTCATTAAGAATGTGCATTTATTTATTTTTTTAAAGGTGGAATCTTTTTTTATAAATTAGATTGCTGTATGATGTTACTTCTGAAAATGTATTATAATGTTGCATAATATCAACCAGCTTGAATAAATATATTTTTGTTCTCTGTTCTGCAAGAGTTGACATGTCTGAACGTTAAGTTATGTACTTTTACTTTCATATTGGCAGTGAAAACAGTGGAATGCTTTGCTCCACCCTGCCATTTACAAACATTCAGTACATTGTCTCAAAGGGTTGCAGATCTACTCGCTCTACCAGACTGATAACTATGCCTTCTACGGCTATGGCTGCAAGATGGTCACCATCCTTTTTGTTAAGTTGTTTTGTTTTGCTAAACGTATGCTTCCCTTTACTTGGACAGCCTGCTGTGGAGAAGAAACTCAAACTTGTGATCATGGTGAGTTATCTGATTGTATTACAGATGTTTCCTGTTCCATTGTATGGTACTTGAAAGTGAGCACTGGCTGGCACTGGCTTCATGCACATAGTTGTATTTTCTGTACAGCATACTGCGTAGCTTAGCTCTAGTCTAAAAACTTGCTCAAGTTTCCAAAAAGACTGTTTATAACTGCTTTATCTATTGTCAATCTTTCAGGGTTCTAGCTTTCTTGTATTGTAAGATGTGTTATATAATGATTTGATCCCCTGCAGATTTTGTAAGTTTGACCACTTACAAAGAAATTAAAGATCTATCATTTTTATCATAGGTGTATGTTACATGATAGAGACAGAATATCAACCATCATGATACAAATGTTATAAATTGAGTTGCAGTTCAGTGAGTAAAATAAGTATTTATGAGAGAGAGAGAGAGAGAGAGAGAGAGAGAGAGAGAGGCAGAGACAGAGAGAGAAAGCTGTATATGCATTGTATATAATAGCAGTTTTCTATTTTGGTCATTTCAGATGTTGCACAAGTCCCTGAGGGTCTGCTTCTCTCTATTTCCTGCTTTCCTGATTGCTTTGTTTTCCTGTGATGTAATCAGAAACCATGCTAGATGCTTGCATAGAAAGCTAATGATTCCCACAATAGTGCTACAGCCAGAGGGGGTGTCATTAACATGCCTATAGACCGGTTAGACGGTCCGAGTATTCCTGCAATGAATGCATGTGTAATTACCAGTGAAATCAATTGATAACAAATCTGACAGCTTTTTTCTCCAACGATCACTCCACCCTAAAGTAATATTTCCAGTTTTGGTAATTGCTGGACCATTAAACCACTTGACATTTTCTTATACGAACTCTATTGGAGAGATCTCAATGCTTGAGTTCCTGGGACTGCACGCCTGCATATAAAAAGCAAGTGAATGACGTTCACAAAACAGAACAAAAACCGACAAAACATTCACATACTGTATTAGTTAAGTTTTACTTTTGGGTGTATTTAGCTCTTTTGCCTGGGGTTGGATTAACATTACATCAAATGACAGAAACTGTAGCAATTTTTAGAAAATGTTGGTTACAGAAGAATGGAAGTTGACTGGCGAATAATGATATAAACATAAATGTAAGCTAGTCATCATTGCAAGGAACTGTGATCATCTCGGAATGTCATGTTTATCTTATGAATAAACATGTGGGATTTGCTGTTCTCCTCCTGCATAAGATAATGCTAGGCACCAACCATCACCTGTTTTTGTACCTATTAGTATTTAAAAGTTTAAACCTACACTTTTAAAGTGACAATAAACACAGGAGTTAAACCTTAAAAATGCATTCAAGTACCCTAAAAATGTATCTTATTTGTGCATTACTCGGCTGTAGATCCTCAAATCATCTCTGAATTCATGCTGACACTTTTGTTCTCTATGGTCCCTGTGTGTGATGTAAAGTAGCCACCGCTCCAAGCTCACTCTCGTATGACTAAAAAAAATACTAGCGTTACATAAACTTCTAATCATTTAGCTACCTCACAAGCTTTTCAGATGAGAAAAGGGGACATCTTCCAGCACAATGTATTTTGGCACACACTCCTGCCACATCCCCAATTATGTGAACCATTAGGAATTGATATGACCATTACTTCTCCTTTCTACTGGCTTTTAGAAATGGCAAACAAGATCATTAAGGGTTTAGTGCAGAATAACACTTTTGGTAGGTAAATAGAACTTGTTCATAGATATCTGAACAGCCAACCAAGAAGAGGGACAACTGAGTAGGAAAGAGGGACAGACGGATGTGGTTCCAGGGACAGTTAGGAGGTCTGGATTTATGTGAAGAGATAGGCAGGTGGACAGTTGGAACCAATTTCACTGTACCCCTGAGTTTATTTCAGGAACAGGAGTTTTAGCTGGGCCCTTGGGACATCCTAGGCTTCTGTCTAGGTTGCTTTGTAGATAATCTTACACTTGATCCATAACAAACCTTTGTAAAATGAATGATATTTGTGCATTGCTACTACTGTTAAACTAATTCACAGTAGCTGCGCATTAAACAATGTATTTGCCCACTTTATAAACACAGTTTGGCCATATGTGCATGCTACTTTCCTTTTATCCATTTTGACATGGTAAACCCCGATTTCAATGAGTATCCACCAGATCAGCATATTCGCAGGACATTGACCATGTGTTTGCTGGTCAATTGCTGCAGACACATAGTGCAAATTGACACACATTCACCTGCAAAACATTCTCTGGTTACTAAATACCTGGCTAATGATAGTATATTCCGACCTATGAAGCAGTTGTTCTTGGCTTTGCCCTGACATTATAAGTATGTAGCCACCTTGCCCTAAGTGGGGTGGCTGTTTAAATCTAGTTTGCTAGGACTGTATCCAGTCTAGCTGATTACATAGTCTGTACTCATTTGGCTTTTTGTAAGTGATCTGTTATTGATTGCATCTGCCTGCTGCTGGGTGAAACCTTGCCACAGAGTAGAGCATTCGATAATGGGGCAATATAAATATCTATGTCTCTCCAGCCATTCACTAGGAGTTTAATTACCAGTGGTGCATGCTGGGAGAGGACATAAAGTAAATATCTGGGTTTGATCATGTGAGGGTCTCTTTCTCCTCTGGCCCGCTGTGTGGGGGAGGTGCATTATGTGTGAGCTGTCCGACCAGGCCTGTAGCGTGCAGGTGGTCAGGTGTGTACCCAGTTGGGAACTTTGTCTGCTGGGGGTGCCAGAGAACCCAGGATGGGCTTGGACCTCAGAAAGAAGTCGGGTGTCTCACCCAGGGGAGATCTCAAACATGTCTGCTGAGCAGCTATGGTTCTCTTATGCAGTGTCACTGCATTTTCAGTTTAAAGCCCCTCTACGCTGTGGAGCTGGAAAGTAGTCTGTGAGTCTAGAGTTCTGTGTTTTTTGAGATGTCTGCAGCCCTAACCCTCCCTCCCTGTTTTTACCATTCATGGAATAAAGAATTATTGGTGTACATTGTTGCTTTCACATCCCATATACTGTATTCATACAGTGATCACAGGTGAAATGTCAGTTCCCCCTTCCCCTTGAAGTCAGGTGGGCACTACTAATAGATCATTTAGGGCTTTCACACTAGCCCTCATGCAGAAATGCTCAGTTTAAGTGTGTAGGCTAGTGTGGTGAGACAGGTCTGCTGACTTTTACTTTATTTGGAGTGTGAAAAGTGTACATTCCATTCCAGTCTCCACACAGCAGCATGTTGTACTGCGGTCACCTGGAGTGCGACGCAATACAACAGCTGGTTTTCTATTTGCCATATCAGTGACTGGCATTGTTCAGTTGCTGAAAAGCACCAGTTACTGCTTATGGTGTGAACCATCAATGTAACTATTTCTTCACAATTATAATGTTTGTTTTTGTACACATGTACAATATTTAGGTCTCATTCATACAGACGTGCACAGCTGTACAGTGTGCACATACTTGCAGAAGCCTGCACCCGGGGGGAACAGGTGCTGCGTGTACCCGCCTGTACATCTCTATGAGAGGCTGCGCCTGATTTGAACTTGCACATCTGTACAGGTAAGGATGCACTCTCTTGGATGCTGACTGTATTCGTTCAAGAAGCATACATCCGTACCTGTTTGTATGTGCAAGTTTGGATCGGTGTGCAGCCACCTGTACATCTCTATGACAGGATGTGGCTACATGTAGCACCTGCCCCTCCTAGGTGCAGGCTTCTGCACGGACGTGCATAATGTATAGCTGTAACGTCCGAATGAATGAGGCCTAAATGTTGGTGTTGCTGCTGACATTGCTGTTTTTACTGTTTTATGTCTTAGCAAAATCACATGGTATAGTGTTGACAATACTGTATAAGTTATTGTCATTTTTTTGTTTTGTATAAATCTATTGCTGCGTTTGAAATTATTTTCCTTTATAACGCATTGACTCCAAAACAAATAGTTACATAATCATTTTAATCTGTTAAATTGTATTGCACTGAATTTTGTCTGCTTGCTTGTCATATGAGATTCTAGATCAACAATCCTGTCATAAAACAAACCGGTTAGATTAGTTTCAAGTTGGTAGGTGAGGTCATTTATAATCACAAAAGAATCAAATAGCAAATATACAAAACAATTGGAAACATCAGACTGAGCTTATTGTTGCACACAGATTTGTTTTACCAGTTTCCCTCTATTGGAGGACTGTGGAGAAGATTTTACAAAAGGAATAATTTCCCACCAGTATGTATTCACTTCAAGCAGCTGGTTCAGCGGATATTTGTATTTAAATATATTACTCAATAGCCACAAAGATATAAATCTACTTTTTGTGCACCAAATGCCCTTGCAAAACCAGATATCACCTTGTGAAAGTAGCAGTGTTATCTTCACTGTGGTGTAAATAACCCATGAAGGGAGCATGGAGCTGGCTTCCCGGCCAATCAGCTGGGGTGTTCCCCTACTTTTTTTTTATTGCTTCAGCACATTCAAGTCACCTAGGAGTTAATAAAATTTCTGCATCTGGAAGATATTGCTTCACTTGCCATATAAGGTTTTTGAACTTTCTTGCCCATAACCGGTAAAAGACTAGATCAGGGTCGAAATGTGTAGTCATTCAGTCTGGGGGTCCAGCCACCTGTTGCATTATGTCGGTGAGAGAAACTTTCACTATCAAATTAATATCGGGTCTTTGTCCAGATATGTGTACATTCACCCTCAATATATTTCTGGATGTCTAATTTTTACCTGATTACAAAAGAATAACCTTGCTTTGCATTTAGCTTTGTATTGTTAATAAGCTGAGATATAGATGGCGAATATTTCTCATGCAAAATGTGGTACCCTCAGTGTCCTAATTGATATGGGACTAATTATGGCTGTTACATTTTCATATGATTGACAAAAATAACAGATAAAGTTTCAATTTTAGCTAGAGGTCCTGACCTTACTTGTCTGCTAATTTTTACACCTTTAAAGGAGAACTCGGGTTAAGGCTTTTCCCCATAGTTCTCCTTAGGGTAACGGGAGGACACAAACTCCCGTCACCCTAGGCTCAGTATACCGCAAGCTGTAGCTCGCGGTATACTGAGACGCCGCAGTATACCGTGAGCTGCTGCTCGCGGTATACTGAGACGCCGGGATCCGCCCAGCTGCGTGACTGACAGCTGGCTCTGTCTATCTAGAGGCAGAGCCAGCTGTACCCGCCCCCTCCCCCGTCCGTTCCGCCAGTCAGCGCTGGCGGATCGGAGCGGGGAGAGCGGAATCCAGCCCCTCCCCTGTCATGGCAGAGAGCCGTGACAGGATCGAGAGGTGAGCGAACGCCGGTATGTTTTCGCTCACCTACCGATCTACTGAGCCGACCTGTGACAGTCTCATTGTCACAGGTCGGCTAGAACTATGAGGTGAGTGAAAAGCACTCACCTCATAGTTCTCCTTTAAGGGTCCCAGTAGTGTTTTATGTGCTGTAAAGCCATATCTAGTGCCTGTGGTTTTAGAGTGAGAGAACACTGAGGATGTGGTGGAACTACAAGAGGTAGTCAGAACTGATCAGGAGGACAAACACTAAAGCCCATTTCACAAAGGCGTTGTCCATTCCGATCAGTGAAAAGCACTCACCTCATAGTTCTCCTTTAAGTCAGCAGATAGTAAATGAAAGACTGGTAGACCATGATTTCAGATAGCTGGTTTACTGCTGTACTGAGAATGCAGATCTAAATAGCATGATTACCCATGCATGCAGCTGAATGCATCAGCCAAACAAGGCAACAGAGGGATAAGACCTGCAGGGTCAGTCCAAAACTTCAGTGGTAGTGCCGTGCTTTATTATTAAAGATGCCAAAATGGTTTGCATATCATGTAGCATGAAAGCACCTGTGAGGGCCTGGCCAGACAGGGGAGAATCTCAGCTGCGGAACAATTAAAGAAGCAGGTAGTTTAGTATAAACGGTATTCAGTGTCGGACTCCTGGCGTCTCTCTCTCTGTCATTTGAGAGTTAGGAGTCCTACCATCATTTACCGTGAAGAAAAGAGGGTAGGTTAGAAACCAGTACGTATATTCCAGCATACGCAGGGTCAAAGGAAAAGAAGATTTAAACTTTCTTATGAAAGAAGAGAGGTCATTCAAGGCAATTGATTTCTGAGGTTCAATATCTGAACAGTCTTCTATACCTAGCAGGAGTTAGATCAGGATTATACTTTGAGCATACATGCAGTATGAAGTGAATCAGTAAATAGGCAAGGTTCCCGTACACATATATATTAAGTAATTGCAGTTCACAGTTCTCCTATGGTAGAGTGCTGACAAGTAGATGTAATATAGAAGTAACCAGCAGATGGAGCCGACTCCAGTAATAGATGATACAGATACTTGCTGTTTTGTAGGGTTCTCTGTTTTTCCCAGAGCAGGGGGAAGCTGCAGTGTCCTGATCCGCTTTCAGTTTGTCTCTCTCTCTCCAGGTTAGGGGTCCCAGGGTTCGTATGGCCGGCAGAGTCAGCAGGTGCTCACTCCACAGTAGCTATAGTGGAACACTGAGCTGACTGTCTGCCGGCGTTTTAAGGCGGAAGGAACGAGGAGGTGCCAGTGACGTCATCGGGCCGATGCGTCCCAGGCTGGAACGCATCGGCTCCTTCAGGACTTCCTGGTTTGTGGCTGCGTTCCAGCGTGGAAGACACGGACGTGCCGCAATCCTTACAGCACCCTGTACTCAATGTCTACTTGTTTATAAATTGAGTTTATAAATCCAAAGTAATTGAAGTCACACAAAACCATAATGGTTTGGTTAGATAATGGATTAAGTCTTTCCATGTTAGTGCTATGAGTTTTTGCTTATTCTCTTTGCTAGGTGTTCCGCCATGGAGACAGAAGTCCAATTCAAACTTATCCTAATGACAAGTATAAGGAAGATTCTTGGCCTGATGGGTTTGGACAACTTACACAGGTATGATCCAAACAGGTTATGTTGTCATTTATTTTATATGCCATTTAATAAACGCTTACACTAATCTACAGTATATTATATATTGGAGTTGTTTATACACTTGGCAATTTTCTAACAATATTAACCACTTTTAAGCAGCTTTTGACTGCAATAACAACCAAATAAATCAAGAAACCCTAACGTCATACCTGCAATTTAAATAAACATGCAAATACATATTACTTGATCTGTTCATTCGGCAATGTAAAAAGCATGACCAGCATAACTGCATTTCTTTAAGGGAACCTTTATATGTGCACTTAATTGGAAACACCTTTCTGGAACTCCGTCAGGGTTATTCACAAAAGGATGAAGAATTTGGAGAAGGCAGGAGAAGTGAAAAATCTAGACCAAAATAGCCGATTTGCAAAAATTCTCCAATTCAGCCGACTTTATGATTCAGCTATGTTGGCCTAGATTATTCACTTCTCCTGCCTTCTCCAAACTCTTCACCCTTTTGTGAATAACCTTGCGTGTGTGCACTAGTTATGTGAAGGTAACATACCTGTTACCCTAATCTGCCCAGAATTAGCATGTAATCTAATGGTTGTAGATGGTCACTCTAGTCATCAATTTGTCAGCTGTATACCCCTCAGCTTTCACACCTATAGAAGAGTCACGACTTTTAGTGTATTGTATGTAAGCAAAGAACACATCTCTACCATATCCTTAGTAATGTACAATGAGTGGCCAGATTATTATGACCATACCATCAGTACTTCGTTGGGCCACGAGATTACTCCACGAGGTGACTTCATTGGGCCGCCTCGTGACTCCACGAGATGTTGAAAGGTGATGCGAGGAATCTGACACTGCTCTGTTGCCCTTCTGTTGTCTTGTACCAGTCTTGCCACTCTCCGTTCTGCCCTAACATTGACTAGTCGCTGACGGCCACAATTCGCACGTTCAGACCCAGATTTTCAGCTGGCAGTCCAGTCTTTAAACACTTTAGCAACAGCTGCTCTTGAACATTTAACACATTCTGCTGTTTTGCTGATACTCGCTCCATGGCTTGAGCGCCAACAATCATCCCAAGTTCAAAGGCTGTTAAATCGCGTTGTTTACCCATATCTTCAGAAAAAAATCACTTCTACTGTCTTGGTAAACAACCTGCTTCCCTATTTATAATGGTCTGGCCCTCTAGCAACTTCACCGCGAAATTATAGCTAATTATAGCTAATTTACCTACAAATGTCAGGTGGTCATAATAATCTTAATAAACAAAAATAATCATGAAAACAAATGATCTAGAAGAAGGAAAATTGGAAGCAAAGCAATTGGGCATGTCTTTTGATTTCCTTTGCCATATATATCCTGACCACTATACTCTAAAACAGAGATTAAATGGAACATCAAGAAAAAATTGGTTTTGGGAGCAGCACATGTGTAATCAGTTACCTTGAATGTTTAGTATCCTATGCCCATAGTGCTGCTGGTTACTGTAGAAATGTCAGCTTAATTTATGCTGGAAACTGGTCGCTGGTCTGATGGCCATGATATTCAGAGAACTGCATCTTCAGTGAGTAAAAGGAGATATCTGATTGGACAGTGTGGAGAGGAGTGGCGGATGATGTGGCAATCTTCAACTCATTCAATGTGAGAACACCTTGTATTCATCAATGAAAAAAATACAAGGTGTTCTCCGATTGGCATTGGTGGCGAGTGAGTGACTACTTGTGCTGAGCGTGCAGAGGGAAAGTCTCTATCACTGTATGTAGCGCAGACTACTACAGTGATTTTCAGCATGCCCAGAAGCCCTTCGGAGATTATTATTATTTTACAGGATTTATATAGTATCGGAACTCTGAAAAGTACAAGCATGCATATGTACTCAGTACTTGGTTTGTGCCCCTTTTGCAGAACTTACCGTACTGCAATTACTTTTGCATGATATTCTAATTATTCGAGTTTCACCTGTATATTTTAGACCACTACAAGTTGGGAATTATGGATAGTATTAAAATGTCAAAGTGTGGCCATGTCCAAGTGATAGCATTAAGTCAACAGATTTAAAAAGCAGGTGATGAAAATAAAAAATAAAAAAATGTGTTATGAAAAATTCTCATATATCTCAACAGCTTGGAATGGATCAACATTTTGAACTGGGGAAATACCTGAGAAAGAGATATTCTGGACTTCTAAATGAAACATACAACAAAAATGAAGTAAGTACTTACAGTATGTCCTAGCCTATGTCTTTCTTTACAGTTAACAAAGGTTAAAGCCCAATTGAAGTCACAGATATAGATATGTAGAAGATAGCTTTTGTAAAAAGAGAATTCACAGGAATAGATATGCAACTGCATTGTCATTTGTAAAAACAACCTCATTTTTAATATTTAGCTTAAATTTTCCTTTAACAGCAGTTTCATAGCGTGTCAAAATGACTGCAGTCCAACAGGTCCTAGAAAAGACCCATTGCTCTCAGAAATGTAGCCAATCTGGTCAGACACTCCCTTCTCCTTCTCTGCAATAGAAGTCTGTGTGTTGAAGGATGTACACTTTTGGGGTGGGGGGGTGGTCTTATGCTTCAAAATGGGGGTACATGTGCTGCTGCTTAATGACCACTATCTGTAAAGCACCGGCACTCTTTTCAACCAACAGCATATTCTCTCAGGTTGACATGTCTTGTGTCGTTTTATACTGCTGATTGAATGTTATAGTGTTATACTGTTGCTTTCGAAGGGTTATTATGCTAGCATGAAGTGGCTGAAAGCATTATCACTATTTAACACACCTATGTTTCCCTTACACACTGACTGTGTCAACTTTAGACTTTTTATATTCACTTTAGACACCTGATTCTGCTGTGACATCCCTGCCACCCAGCTCATCATTTTATCATATGGGTCCCACTTTTGTGGTGTAAAACTGTTCTTCTTCGCATAGCAGTAGATAAATGTTGTTCTGAACTTGCTAAGACCATGCACATCCTTAGGATATAATGGTTTGAAATCTGATGTGTATCATAAACTTCAGTGCATATTAAAAATGGAGAGCACTTTATTTGTTAATATATTTTGGTTTTGTCTGAAGTTTTTCCTTTTAATGGCTTCTACTCATAGCTGACCCTAGTGTGTGTGTGTGTGTGTGTGTGTGTGTGTGTGTGTCAGTATGACTGTGGTAGAGACATAAAACTGTTAGCTCATTTGGCGGATTTCAAGGTTTTGTATAGTGTATATAGCTCTGCAGAATATGTTTGTGCTATAAAGATATATAATAATGATAATTAAAATACTTGTTCCATAGGTTTTTGTAAGAAGCACAGATGTGGATCGTACATTAATGAGTGCCCAGGCTAATCTTGTTGGTTTGTTCCCACCCACCGGTAGGCAAGTCTGGAACCCTAACATTAAATGGCAACCAATACCCGTTCACACAATGTCTCAGTCAAATGATGTAAGTAATCATTTATATAAACCAATTCAGTTTTTGCTACATTTATTTTACTGCTGTTACTACTGAGCCTTTTGCAGAGTATTAAAGCCACTAAACCCCAAAATTACATTATACAAATAAGATCTATAATATAGTAATTTAATAATAAGCTTACTCTGGTTTTCAGTATTTGCCTTTAAAAGCTTCAAAAAACGATCTCTTTATCCATGTCACTTCCTGCCAAAGGGTGGCTACTTTTCTTCTCCATGGTCCCTATGGGAGGTGAAAAGTAGCCACCCTCTGTGCTCGCTCCTGTAGAGAACTACAATGACACCACAACTCCTCTGCTGACTCCTCCTCTTTCCTCCCTCGAATCCCTCCCATCAGCAAGCAGCGGTGTACAAGTTTAAAAGCAGCGGAGATAGAGTAAGGAGGAGGGAAGGGGGAGGAATGGTATGTGAATTGGCACATGTGCAGTGAGAACACTGAGCGCTGTGCCTTCTGGGACATGTATGTCATGAATGTCGGACAAGAAGGAAGCTGGAAATAGCAGAAATCCAGAGGAGCTGCGGGAGCGCACCTGGTACATTTTGAACAGCCAATTAAGGTATTTTTTTTAATTTTTAAAAGGAAAGGACAGCAGAATTTACTAATGTACTGTAAGGAGAGCCCTGTGAGCAAATAAAAGATTTGAGTTTTGTGTACAAATATACGCAAATGGTTAGCCTCTCCCTGCTCAAGTCCTATAAGCTGGATTTAAAAGTGACAAGACAACCAAGTCCACCTACCACAGTAAGAACACAGGGTCAGTTTTTACCCAATTGGTCACCTGTAAAAGAAGCATAAATATACTTCTCTCTTTTTGGTGGTCCTTGCATTTAAAAGTCACTGTTATTCTGCTGCTGCAAGTAGTCTACACTCTCCAGCTGCTGCAATTACTCTACACTTCCAGGTGTGTAAAATACTTGCTCTCCCATTAGCCGCTGTGGTTCCTCCTGCTGGCTTGTACATCACTACAGGAACCACAGCAGCAGGTGGGCAGGAGCAAGTATTCAACTCATCTGACAGTTAAATACTTTCAGAAGCTGGGAACGGAGATTCAACGGCTTTTTTAATACACAGGTCGTTGGAAAGGTAAGTGTATTTCCACTTGCTTTGCAGGTGACCTACTTTGTAAAAGTGACTCTGTGGTAAAAAGTCATTTGGTCCCTTTGTGGCTGGACGTACAGTGTACGTCTCCCGTCACGAAGGGGTTAATATTGACATAGATGACAGTTTCTCATTTTTAACCAAGTGGGGCAACAGCTTAATGACTGACAAAACGAGCTGACAACTACTTGGGGGGAACAAGAGATCAGGTTGAAAAACCATCCTCATGGCTACAGTTCTATAGGCCAGTTTTGACAGCCATCCCCCACCCATCTCCATTAACATAAACTTGTATGATTGCCAAAGCTGAGCATACACGGTTAATCTTCAGCATTCTGCAGCTCTGTGGTTGCCTATCTGGCGACCAAATAAAGTCTGTGGGCAGCTTTAAGACTGTCATTCTCTCCGCATACCTGCTCTTGGGACATGATAGCAATAAATAATTGCCTGTCCACTTTACGTAGTCAAATGTGAAATAATCAATGTGGTTCTTTTGAAATGAATAGTGGGAAAAAAACAATCACTTCCAAGTGAACTTTACTCATTGCAAAGATTTTACTAAACCTAACTATATATACCTGCCTTAATTCATGAGATTTTGAGATAGGCCACATGGAAAAAGGAAGGGATTGCCTACTATTATCATATACTTAGTTCCAATATTAACGTAACACTGCAACCGCCTACTTCTTTCCCCTTTTTATACATGCAGCAGTTTTTATTTGTATCATCCCTAGATGACATTTCTAGTGCAATAGCTTTGCTTGGAATGCCTCTAATTTGACCTCAAGCTTTGTCTATTTGCTTTGAATGTGAAAAAACGGAATTGTACATGTTTGGTTATCATAGCTAGCAACAGGCTGAAATGGAACAATAATGTAGAATAACATTGCAATTTTATACAGCGCATTTTTAAAATTCTTTTCAAATATAGCATACCAGTTAGTGAGCCGCTGGCTCCTTAACACCATGTTGGAAATGGCTCTCTATTACTTGAAAAGATGAGTTCTCCATTATAATAAAAACACAAAGCACATGTAAAAAGAACCTTGTCATTGGAAGGTAGGGTTATGATGACCTTAAAATCAACTTTTCATCGCTTTTAATACAGAACAATTAATGTGTCAGGTTTCTTTAAATAAAAACAGGGTGAAAAGTGTAAGTAGTCAAAGCAGATATGTTTCCAAGAGGGAGAAACCTACACCTTGAGCCAACACTGCAGCCAAAGACTTGCCTACTTGACATTTATTGGCAGGAATTTTGCAGAAAGCACCTTGTTTCATTCAAACATTCAACAAACAACATCAGGGCATTATTAAATGCAACATAAAATATACAATATCTACAAATCTACATATACATAGGTATAAAAATTTTAAAATGCCACTTACCATAAACTTTCAGAGCCCAATCGCAGTGTGCTTTGTGTTAACACATGGGACTATTTGGATGTCCATTGAGGTATGCTGCGTTAAAGTATACTTAAAGTCAGAAGTTCTTTTTTTCCTTGGGAGGGTTAAAACTGCTGTCAGTTTTTTCTGACATCTATGTCTCATTGGAGAGATTTTCCTTTAATTTCCTGTCCTGTAGATTTAACAGGAAGTGAGAGGATATCTTTCCAATGCGATCAAAATCCCATCTTAGCTGTCACAGGAGAGTCCCCATTGGAAGATGTCCCTTCTATTCCTGTTCTGCTGGCAACTCAAAATGTTGTATTTACGCCCACTTTAATTCCTAGTGACACTGGTGATCAGTACAATTAGTAAGTAAATCTCCCTAATTGGGGGGAAAAACAGGCAAAAAAAACCTCACAGGGCTTCTGTGCCCTCACCACGCTGATCAAATAAAAAAAACTTTTTGCCTTTAGTTTTACTTTATGGAAGCCCCTTTTTAAGAAGGGGTTAGCAGTACACCTCAAAATGAACAAACCAAAAATGTATCCATCCTGCACATAAAGCTCTCACCTCCAAACTTACAAGGTGTAAGTCCAGTGTTGGTGCTTTCTTCCAGCATGAAGGAAGGAGAGCACTCCATGTAAGATATAGCTGTTTAACTGCAATAGGAAATCACAGGTTCCCATTTCAAAGGCATGTAGGTCCTCTTTGTTGAAGTCTTCTTTGGCAAGGAGGACCTGTGTGCCCTCAAACAAATTGTCAGTGATTACTGTACCTCCACCGTTTTTTTTTTCTCAACGCAGTGCTCCACAGTGCACAAATGGTTAATGTTTGGTGTTGCAGTGCAGGGCCGGATTACCATGGGGCGGGTGGAGCTCCCGCTCCAGACTCGCCCCTGCAAATAGGCCCGGCCGTGCCGACCCGAATCGCGGCCGAGTCGTGGCCTGCCCAACTTGAGCTGAATCGGGGCCGAGCCAACGTGAGTCACAACGGGCCGACCCGACCAGACCCAAGTCGTGGGCCAGCCCAACCCAAATCAGGGCCAGTCTTGACCAGGCAGCCGCAGCCTTCTCTTATTTATGGCATAATAATTCAGCGTGCCAGGAAAGCCTGCTCAACTGACAGCCTGCCAGGAAAGCCTTCTCATTTGAGCGACAGGCTCGAACTCCCACACACCAGTTAAGGTGCCAATTTGTGTGACTTCTGTCGTTTGTGACTTCTTGGAAAAGTAAACACCTGTGAAAGCTTTCAAAATTTAAGGTGGAGCACTGGCTTTCTTGGTATTTTTGGATATCATTTTCAAATTCATAGGAAAAATGACATTATTGCACTTCGATAAAGTCTTTCAGCTTTACCCTGCACCTTTACCGTTTCTTATTATTTACAGTATATATTGTAACAAGGACACTCCACTGTAGACCGGAGGTGCAAGTCAGATGCAGTTTATTTGCTTTCAAAACGGTAGATAACACGAAATCCAACATAAATAGCTTGCTGTAGCATATAACAGATAAGGGCTCACCGACATCTGTCTCTCTTGCCGCACTGCTGCTCCGGTCTCAATCTTTAGGGCCACTGTCTGGTTCCTCCAGACAACGGCAATAACATGCCAATCCTCTCAATATGGTTCACAAACCCGCAGCTCCCTGCTGCACTGGCCTCCACACTGACTCCAGGGTGGAGCTCTCCTGACTCACAGGTGGGGCCCTGAACACATCCCAGCACACTCTTCATGAGGGATGTACACAGGTGCACAATCAGGTGCTGGTCACTACCAAAGCATGGACCCAGGAATGGAGATTTCATCCCACCCAGAGCTCTAAGAAATCTCCTGGCTCCAGGATCCCAACTATGATCCAGAAAACCTGGAAAGAACTGAAAAGGCAGTTCTCTCCTGGTACACGTACTGTCTTCCTGGAGCCACTCAGCCCCTCTGGCTGAGAACCCTGGGTGACTTTGAGGCCACCTAACACCGTGGTATTGCCTCACAATGCCACAATATATACAGTATTTATTGCTGATTCATTTCGAACAGTCTCTGTAAGTATTATTCACTGTCTAGCTTGAGAGGGTGATAAGAAGGACTTGGTCGCTTGGGTTTTCTAGACAACGTTGTCAGTTTTATCAGGGGAGGGCATGGATGTATACATACTGCTTAATACATTTGCTAACAATCTCTAAATATTTTATATAATGTTATTATTTTACTTATTTTTGTTGCAGATTGTGGTGTCTTTGCTCACAATTTTATTTATTTATATGAATATTAAGAGGACAGCTATATAAAATGAATTTGAATTTGAATTCTGTAGAGTCTGATTTTATTATGTTGATTTCAGATGCTTCTCATAGCCAAGGAGAACTGTCCCCGCTTTGCAGAACTTGTAAATGAAACTAGCACATCAGAAATATTTAATGAACTTAAAAAGCCTTATGTGGTAAGGTTATCTTTTCTTAGTAAAACATTCAACATTATGTGACTGCTTTACTAAAATAGTAGTAATTTTCATTTGAGTTTGTTTTTCCTTTAAATAACAATGACAATAGTCTCTTCCATGATGCAATATGTCGAGTGAACACAGACAAGGATAAAAATTATGCGTTTAAAAAATGTATGCCTAGCTAACAATGTTGTGTTTATCTACAAGTGTAAAGTGCATTTTTAACCCCTTTCACTAAAAATCAGCAGCTCTGCTTGCTTAAATGAAATTATCTTATATTCATTAGTTACACTAACATTTTTGCTTTGACTGTTTTACCACTTCCTGGTTGAGTAAGGCACTGGTGATGTAATCCTGGTCTCACAGATGCAACCTGGGATCGCTACATCACCAGTGCCTTTTTGGGAAATCTCATCTACAACCTGCAAAAACCCTACAGATTGTTTGTTTCTTTTGTCTACCCAGTTCAATGATTTATTAACAGTCACTTATCCCAGTGCCTCACCCCTTATCAAACGGCTCAGTTTTAAACAGAAAAAAAACTGTGCCATAAAGCAAGCTGCTCTGCTGTGCTGCCTCCTTAGCTAATCCACAGTGCTGTGGGAATATGTTTAATATTTATATGTAAAACAATGATTGCACAGTGTCTGCATGACTGCATATATGTTATGTTTAACAAAGATAAAACATAGTTTAAAACATATAGGGCTCGTTCACACAGGCGTTCACGTCCGTAAGGCGTGCACGCCCGTGCAAAGACCCAATCCCAGGACGGTCAGGTTCTGTGTGTAATTGCATGACACACGTCACACAGCATCATTGATTGCTAGGTCACTGGTGGCCAGGCTGCACAGTGTCATGTGTTTCCATTGTGCGGATGGGTCGGTCACCTCCACTATAACCAAGGACACAATGTAGCCTGGTCACCTATGTCCTAGCAACCAAAGACACTTTGCAACCCAGTTACTTGCATCTATCAACCAGTGAAGCTGGATTGTGGGGTTAGATCCAGCTGAGCTTGCTTGAAAATAAACATGCATTTATGAACCAGTATTCTATTTTTTTGTACTAGTTATGAGAGTTCTTCTTTAAATTTATTTGGTCAGCTATACCATAAAATATGGATTAGATGAGCTGTATGATAGACATAATTATTAAATATACATGTATTACTATTATTTTGAATACAGGACTTTCTGAAAACTTTACCAAATCATACTGGCTACTCATTTGACCAATTAATTGGATCGAAAGGACCCTATATGTGGTGGACAATCTATGATGCTCTGTTTTGTGAGGTAAGTGATACAAGTACACACGCACTGAAAAAGTCATGAAGGTAAGAACTATAAAGAGCACCTGTTAGCTATTAGTCATGATAACATTTCACACATAACTTTTTTATCCGCCTGCAGATCAGTTTTTAGGCTAGGTTCACACCTAGGTGATTTATCGTGCAAAACACAGATTCCCAATCAAAGTCAATGGGGCTTGTTCACACCTTTGCGTTGCGTTGCGCGGCCGAAATCGCCTGTCGTGCAAAAAGATGCAGGAGCTATTTTCGGGCGGTTGTCACATGGTTGTGGTCCCATAGAGAGCTCTATGCATTGAAAACCGGTTTTCAAAACTAAAGCGCGGCAAAAAAACGCGCAAAAACAGCTCAAGGGCTCAATCGCCTAGGTGTGGACCTAGCCTCAATGCTGTTACAGCCTGCACAAATAATAACTGAGGAAGAAAAACATAAACATTTAATGTCTGTGTGCTTGGCCCTTCTGTGCCACTGGGCAGCGTATAGAGTTGTATGAACTGCTATGTCTATAGTTACACTTCCTTATACTAATAACAGTGTTATTCACTAAGGGGTGAAGGGTTTAGAGAAGTCAGGAGAAGTGAACAATCTAGGACAAAATAGCTGATTTAGACAAATTCTCCAATTTAGTTCACTTTCCAGTTCAGCTATGTTGTTCTAGATTGTTCACTTCTCCTGCCTTCTCCAAGCTTTTGTGAATAACCCTGTAAATGTTTGGCTGCCTTCTTAATTGTCCTTTTTCCTAAAAAAAAGTCTTAAAACATTTATTTCAGAAAATTCACAATTACACTTTGCCTGACTGGGCGACAACCACTGTCATAGAAAAACTCCTTGGTCTGCAAGAATTATCCATAGCCGCTTACTTTGGCCTATACAAACAACAGGAAAAAACGAAACTCACTGGAGGTAAATGAATCTGCTACTTTTATAAAAAGCCAATGACTTTTTAGTCAACAGTGAAACCTGTTTTGTTGTTTTTTTTGTTAATGGAAACCTGTACTAAGAAATATGGAGGCTGACAGTCTGCTAGTCCCCTGGATGTCTGTGGCTAAAACACTGACAGTGGACAAGCAAACCACAAAATTCAGTCAAGTCCGAACTCAGGGTGCATTCATAAAGCATCAATATGCCAGCAGTGCGGCTATACCTTTGATTTAAAATTCCTCGTTTTAGCAACAGATTTAGCCCACTGATGAATCCCTGGTACCCCGCTCCTCTCTTCCGATCCATTGGATTTTCACTGCTCAGTGGTGGTACCCCTTCGTTATTTTGTTCCTTGTATTGTGTATCCCGATATGTGTAACAAGTTTGTTTCTGTGCTGTACTTTACCATTGTTCATATTTTCCTAATACCAATGTTATACTTTAACTGAACAATCAAATAAAAATGATTGAACTTAAGATAAAGAGTTCCACAAATTGGTGTGAATTAAATTGTTCTTTTGAAGGAATTGGAGAGCAATTACAGTTTTAAAAAAATCCAGGAGAGCACAGTCATGTGACCTATAAAAGTGACGTAACCAGCCTCTCCTCCAAATATGTTTTTGCTGTTTTCAGGGTCGGTCCACACCAACTGCATTCCAGCTGTGCTGGCCATTTTTACCAGCGCAGCCCGAATGTAAGACCAGACAATTTGTCTGGTCATGGATGGGGTCGGTTTGCACCACCACGTTTACGGTGGTGTGTGCTTTAAAAAAGTACAGCATGTCTAGACTGCCTATGGCATGGTGATTATAGGTGCCAATTGCGTGTACACCTCAGACAGTTCATGTTCCTTTGGGTCCCAGCCCTATTATATATGCTTTTGTTTCCCATGGTTCTTGATATGTTTAGTTAGACTGCTCACTATAACGTTCTGAACATTCTCTACTGTAAAGTTTTTTTCAACCTGAATGGTTTCTTGTGTATTGTTTATTGTTTCCTATATTTTTATCTTTCTTCAATAAAACTTTTGTGAAAGAAAAAAAGTACGGCATGCAGTACTTTTTTTTAAGCACACCGCAGTGAGATGTGGTAGAACCACATCACACCCCGGTGAGCCCATAGAAATGACACTTGTGACATTTCAATAAAGTTGTAACAAACTTTATTTATGGGGCTTGATCAAGAGCATTAGCACTGTCCAGGGACACACATGTGCGGTTGAGTGCGGCTGCTGGTGTGAATGTACTTAAGCAGAAAGAACTCTGTGACATACAACAGAATCCACACCACGGCCTGTATTGTATGACTATGACTGAAATGTGTGCAGTAATACTATGGAGTATAGTGGACAGCGGTATGCACTCTCCGCTATAAATAGGCTCCTTAGTCTGTATACTTTGTATCAGTCCTTTGATACAAAATTGCTGAAGCCACTGGGTCAGCATGGCTGTTGGGAAATTAGCTCTTTCAGAAGGGAAGGTCAACAATGGTAGCTGCCATACCTCCGCAGTAAAGGTTTTCCCCAGCAGCTTTTGTATATAGTTATTTATGTATTAGCGTTAGTTTAGGACAATTATATGCAAATGACGGATATCGGAATATGTGAAGTGCCAAGAGCAGTGTAGAACTTGTCCTATGTAATCTATTGAAGGATACAGTCATTCAAGGCCTAGTAAGAGTAATATACAAGCTCGAACTATGAGGATGAGTGATTTTCACTCACCTCATAGTTCTCCTTTAAGTAAAAAAAGTTTACAAAAATAAAGTTAAATAAAATAAATTTCAAATTGCCCAAAAAAATTTTATGTTTAAAGTCCCCCCGTCCTCACAAATGCGTGCAATGCAAATACGTGTCGGGTGGACCTGGCATAATTTTTACACAGCACATAATTTTTTTTAATGATAAAATGTTTGCCTGAGATTCTGCTTTAATGTAGTAGAGGAGATTGAAATTTGCACACCCAGTGTCCGTTGACTTATTGCAGTTAATTTTATTTTATCCTGTTTTCAGGTGTTCTTGTGAAAGCCATTATTGAAAATATTACACAAGCTCTTGCACCATCCAGCAAACAAAAGATGATAATGTATTCCGCAGTATGTATTTTGCTTTCATAGCTTATTTCTTCCTTGTGTTTAAAGGATTTTCTCATGTAAAAAAAAAAATTCAACATGACAGAAATAGACCTCTGACTTGGGTTTGGACATTAATTGTAGAGAATCTAAATTCACCCCATTATTTCTGTACATTGGCGTGCCATGGCCAGAAGCTAATGCATTGAAATACATGGATACAGTGGTGCTAAAAGCGAGGCATTAATTACCTTAATGCATTCTCTGCAAAAGGCCCCTTCCGATCAGGTTTGCCTGTCAGTTTTCAGTCGGATCCGATCAAAAGCCCAATGTTACTCTATGTGCACCCGGAGCTAAACAGACATGTGTTAATTTACTTCCCATTCCCCCTGGCTCCATCCAGTTCGGGAAGACAAAACAGAAGAGAGTTCTGTTTTGGCGGGCCTTTCAGATAAGGAGTAATCTGATGTAAATGGATACATGTCCACTTACATTTGAATCCCCATAGACTTAACATGAGTTCAGTAAGTTAGGTTTTCTCTGCCATCGTGAGATGGTGTAAAAAACTGGGTGGACATGGATGTCACAATCTGTTCCATGCTTCTCAGCAGCGGATTCATGCATGGATCACCTGCTGACTGGAACTTTCCATGCTCTGCTGTCCCCCAAACACTTACTTATGGTCCCCTGTCACCACCACCAGGTCAGGAAGATCTTTTGGGTTGTGAAGGCGGGCACTGAGGGCTGTGGAACAACTGGCTCCTGTTGACATCAGTTTAATTGTGGGGAGGAGAGCAGTGGAGGGAGCATGGTGTGGCTTGCCGGGCACTGCGTGTGTCTATGGAAACATACACCTAGGCGCAGGTCCCAGCTGGGAATGTGCATTGGTGTCTCATCAGCAGCCGGCTAGCTAAAAGCAACAACCCTCAAATAGGCATGGTGCAGCAGCTAGAGGAGGAGGAGGAAAGACATCAATAATAATCAGATAATGTAAATGTGGACCTCCTCTTCTTAAAAAAACCCCACAGAAAAAAAAATCAAAGGGTTAATATCACTTTAAATACTATAGCTGGGGATCATAAAAAAAATTACCTGGAGTTCTTCTTTAAAGGCAAAACCTTATATTTTGATTTAGCTCCTTTACTGTCATAGATATAAGGGTTACGTTGGAACAGAACTGCGATCAACAGCTGACAAGCTATCATTTGCATCCATTCATAAAAAATGACATGATTATGATCTCTTCGGTTTCTTAAAGGAGAAGTATGGTGTTAGGGCTTTTCCCCATAGTTCTCCTAAGGGTAACGGGAGGACACAAACTAGCGTCCTCCCGTCACCCAAAGGCTCGCGCTATACTGAGACGCCGCAGTGTGAGAGGCTGATCTGTTGGGGGTGCGTGTCCGTATGGCCCCCCCACGTTCTCGGCTGGCCAGGCCGAGCCGCGTCGGTCAGGAACGGAGAAAAAAAGGGGGAGGAGCTGTATCCGGCTAGAGAACGCCGTGCGCCGTGTGTCAATGTTGGTCACAGAGTCTAAGACTGTCGGGTGTCTCCAGTGGCTACGCGTTTCGAGGGTTAACCTCTTTTTCAAGCCTCACAAGAGTATTGCGCTCCTGTCCTTTTTGTTTTGATCTGCAGGATCGAGAAGTGAGCGAGTGCAGCTATGTGTTCGCTCACTTCCCGATCTACTGAGCCAACCTGTGACAGTTTCATTGTCACAGGTCGGTTAGAACTATGAGGATGAGTGAAAATCACTCACCTCATAGTTCTCCTTTAATGAACACAAAGCAGAAGATAAGAGGATTGAGGAAGTGACCCTGATCTCTTTCTGTCTCAAATGTGAAACATCAGGGGTCACTTGTTATTTCACACACATACACACACGGATTACATACATGTATAATATATACATACATGTACAGTACATTACATTAATGGAGGTAATGTAAGTAACGTGTGTCGCTGTCAACACATGCTGGTGTGCGTTATGCATGCTGTGGTACGTTGTTACAACACATCACAGTGCAGTGTTTTTGGGGGGTTTTTTTTACATTTCTTAAATGACCTTCATTCAACTAAACGAGAATGTAATGTATGCTTGCATCATTTTCCCACAACGCAACACCAAAGCAGCTCACACAGCACTGTGCATCAGGCATTCCCACAAAACCATAAGTGTGAAACCAATATCCAGTTTTTTACAATTGCTTATTTACAGTTTTGCAAAGTTTACAATGTACAAATATGTGTTATTTATTATATCAATGCAGTTTTTCCTGTAAGATTTATTAAAAGTTTTGTTGTGTTTGTGTGCGCTAATAATGATTTTATTGGACATATCCCCAACTATTGTGGGATGTACTAAATCAGCAGCACCTACTTGTTATTCTACGGGCGCCTGCGCTTTCAGAAAATTTATGGTTTGGGGTGTATTTTACAAGTTTTCAAAGCAGTAAGTAAAAAATTATGAAACATGATAAAGTGAAAATAACCAAAATGGTCCAGACACCTGAGGTTAAAGTGAGGGGCAGGGCCCGCCAGCAAGGTGGGTTAAATAGAGGGTTAGAAGGGTTGGAGCCCCTGTCACTGTGTTTTAATGTTCTGAGCTGTTATACCCTCCCTGATCATATTTGAGAAGTCACACACTTACCTGTCCCACCTCCTTTGAGTCGTCTTGTGAGGTCTGAACTGCACTGTCTCTGCTTCAAAATCTTCACTGTAAGGTCCTTCTGAGCATGGGCACCACAATCTCTATTCATTCCGATGGGAATTTCATACTCCATAGGCTATATATCGAAGACCTGTGGCGACAGGTCTATGTGTAATTTGTGATGGGTGATCAGGGAGGGTATTGTATGGAGTTACACTTTAATCAGTTAAGAAAAAAATGGTAACATAAAGTTACTTCTTCTCAATAGCCCTGTTCTAGTTGCTTATTTCCATATTCATGATTATGCGGAAATTCATTACTTTGTCACAATCAGTATAGGCTAAACCTAAATTGTAACAGATTGTATGGTATATTTATATCTTGCAGCATGATATGACTGTAGCTGCTCTGCAATCTGCTCTAAATGTCTCCAATGGAAAGTTACCTCCTTATGCCTCTTGTCATTTGTTTGAGATTTACGAGGTTGGCAATGAGTAAGTAACTAAACAATAGATTATTGTAAGATTATTGTATGATTACAGTTTTCTTCTTTTATGTTCCCCTTTAGTTTGTAATTTTTTAGATAAAAAATTCAGTAATGAGTGAGTAGATTTCCATAATGTACGTATAAAATGGTTCCTATAGCCAGGGCCGGATTAAGAACATCATGGGCCTGGCTCTGTTGGTTGGTAAGCAGCAGAGGCGGTTCTCTAATTAGGCGGCCACTTAATATGCCTGATTAGAGAGCCGCCGGTGCCTCTGCCTAATTGTGTTCAACCCTGCCGGCCCAGATTGCCATCAGGCATACCAAGGCGATCCAGGTCGGTCGGGCCTATTTCCACTCGCGAGCCTGGAGCTGATGCTCCAGTAGCCCCTATGTTAATCCGGCCCAGCCTATAGCACACAGATGTTCATGCTAGTACATTCCCGAATGTCTTATATTCACTAGTTATTCATTGTGTAATAACTATTTATTAGCTATTACTACAAGCCGTGCAGTCTATACATCAAATGCACATACAAGTTTCCTAAGTCATCCTGCTTTTAAATGTGGGCCAAGAGACAGTTTTGCCCTAATCTACTATGGTATTACAAATGATGGCAGGCACTGAAATGGCTGAAGAGGGCCTCTTGCAGCCCTGGACATACACCACTAGGCACGCACATTAGTGACTGGTCAGACCTGTTGCTTAATCCAACTGTGAATTTGTTCTGGGCCATCCCCCCCCCCTCCCAAGCACTAGTTCTGGTTTATGGCAAATGAGGAGGCTGGATGCAAATAGTTCCAGCACCAGGGAATCAATAATCCAGCAAGGTTTTCTAACAACCCGGATCACTTTCCTTAAACAAAATTGCTTATTTGGGGCTGTTGTGTGCTGCCTCAAAGACACTGGTTCATCTCATGATCTGACCAAAGAAGGGCGGATCAGCGCATCTATATGACCTGCTAAGAATTTTATTTTGAAAATAAGAGATAGATTGGGATTTGGTAGTCATTGGTTAATAGGCTGTTAACATTTAAGTATTTACATATTCTTAGGAAGGAGTAAAAAAGCTTTAACACAAGTCCTTGCTGACCTCTGTGGCTGCAGGCGCTGTGGAGCAATTAATCCTCAACTTTCACTGCAGAAGAACTAAAGTGGTTTAAGTAATTCTCTCAGGCAGCTCAGCTTCCACTAAAGTGTATTTTTAATAAAGACTTTTATGTTTAGCTTTTAGTAGAGCAGGGAATGGTTGGAATCCCTGGTTTTTATTTTGCAGTTTGTGTCCTCTTTGAAGGATTTCTCTTCATTTCATGTCCAGGAGATACAACAGTTGGCAAACTGAGCCTACATGTGAAAACAAAGACTGATATATTGCTTGTACGGCTATGGCTAAAGTTGGAAATACCTGCTTGAAGCAGGTCAAATGCAGGTCAAAAGAAGGTCACATGTACCTGTCAATGAATTCTGAAGTATATCAGAAGCATAGCTAGATCTATGAGGTGAGTGGAAATCACTCATCTCATAGTTCTCCTTTAAACTGATGTCATCAACACAAGCTCAAAGCCCATTGACGCAGGCCCAACATTGGGTTGGGGCCTGATTTTGCAAAAGCCCCACATGCTGTACCTTTGCAATAGCCTTATAACTCACAACATCCTTGCTGCTAATAGCATCCAACCAAATAATTTCCCTCATTTATTTCCTGTACTTCAATGTCATCTGGCATATTACTGGTTGCAATAGGGAATTAAACTTCCTAACCTCTGGTTTTGCTTCAACCCTATTATTCTGTACTGTGTATATCTTGAACCATCACATATTTACTATCTGTTGAACTTTGTGTCATAAATTATACAGTATATAAATAAGTAGTTTTGCATGACATGATCAAAGATTTTTTTATTGTAATCATTATTTATTATTTCCAAATGTTAGGAGCTATACCATTGAAATGTACTATAGGAATGACTCTTCAGTGGAGCCATACAAGATTACTTTACCAGGATGTTCCCAGTCTTGTCCTTTGGAGAAGTTTACTGACTTAACATCATCAATTATTGCAAAAGATTGGAGAAAGGAATGTGGATTTGAGGATAAAAACTCAGGTATAATTACTATCATATTTGAATAACCAGGTGTCGCTTGTTACCATCCTTAAAGTGGAGTTAAACCTTAAAAATGCATTCAAGTATCTTGACTGTTAACAAAAATGTAGCTTATTTGTGTATCACTCGGCTGTAGATCCTCAAATCATCTCTGAATTCATACTGACACTGTCCTTCCTTCTGGAGGGTGGCTACTTTTGTTCTCTATGGTCCCTGTTTGTGTTGTGAAGTAGCCAACACCGAGTGATACACAAATAAGATACATTTTTGTTAACAGTCAAGGTACTGAATGCATTTATAGGATTTAACTCTTGAGTTTACTGTCACTTTAATATTACTTCTTTCCTGGGTCAGTTCATCGGACAGAAGTGATTATGCTGATTAACTGTACTGTGACCAGATGAGGAGGTGGAGAGGTCACATAGAAAACTGCATTGCTTAACCAGGAAATAAGTGTGTCATTAACCTGGCAACTGAGTGTCGCAAGCACACTATGGCTGGGCAGAATTACAATTCTGTTGGAAAGTAAAACCGTAAACATACAGCATGTGTATTGTTTGTTTAGTTATGTGCCAGGAGTTAGACAACAGTAAGCAGAAGGAATGGATATGAACAGGACCAGCTGTGCCCAAAGAAACGCAGAGTAGGGGAAATGCAACCTCAGAATGGGCATCTACAGGACACAGTTACAATGAATTTAAATCTGTGACTTGAGTTGAATGCATGCTTTAAATGAAACTTAAATGCAGCACAACAAAGCTCTTTTACACAAGCTGGATCTTGGGCAATTCAAACTGAGCATATGGTGAAAACAATTGAGTAAGAAGGGTTTACCTTCACAAAACCACATGTCAAAATGATCATTAGATCCAGAGATGTGGACAACTGACATACCAATGGCAGGTCACTTATTACGTAAAAGGTGAATAGTGAGGCTCAGAAAGTGGTAGACATTCATCCCAAAACTACCTGACTGTTACAGTAAAGGGTGAGGCTTCTTCTTTAGCTGCGTGTAAGAGTGGATCTGCTGATCATTTCAAATATGTGAAGCTAAACTCTGCTGATGCATTTTTTTTCTTCACATGCTTAGAATTCTCCAGGGTTGTGCAACATTACTTTTAAAGTAATGATCAGCGATAACTGCTGGATAGCAAATGACCCTTGATGTGCAGAGAAAGGTGACTGTGGTCATAGCAGTTATTGTTTACCTAAAGAGACAGAGGGAGAAAAAGATATTTCTACTGTTTATAAACGTAGGTTAAAGCAGTCGGCCTTTCCACAATAATATCTTATATGATCTACTCTAATATTAGTCTTGTTAACAAAAATAATGTTGTAATGTTGAGATGAACGACATTATTTGACAAAATACCAGCTAGTGATAGCAAGGATTAGGAATAATAGTGTATACTCAGCATCAGTCTTTGGTAAGAGTACAACAGTGTTAAACAAAAAAGTTAATAATATTGTTTGAACTGTATAAACTGCTGGAGGATTTACAGTTGGCCCCAAGCAGTCTATAAATTAGATATTCCTTCAAGTTGTACGGATCCCTATATTGGTCTGGCTTTCCATGGCATCTTTGTAAACAAGAGTGGGACTCCTCTACTTACTCTAGGAGTAAAAGGCTCTGTTCTCATCTCTGCAGTCCCAGAGCACGTGCGTTCCCACGTCACACAAGATCATATGTTACACTGTTAGGTGCACTGTGGTGCCAGTATTTAATGGCATCCCAACACGCCTAACTATCGCATGTGCATTGCATCACTCCACAACGCATGGTAAGTTATTACCATACATTGTGGTGTGATGCAATTTAAAAACAGACTCATGTACTTCTTTTAGTGCAATTCAGATGCGGTAGGCAGCCCATTCTAGTGAATGGGCTGCCCTACCGCAACTCAACCTGCAGCTCACCTGTGATGTTCCATCACATAGATGTGAATGGAGCCAAGGTGCTTTTAACAGGGTTATTCACAAAAGGGTGAAGAGTTTGGAAAAGTTAACAATCTAGAACAACATAACTGATTTTTTCGTGATCAGCTATTTTGGCCTAGATTGTTCACTTCTCCAAACTCTTCACCCTTTTGTGAGTAACCCTTTTATAGAGTAAAGTCAGTCAGATCTGAAGCAAAGAAATTAATGTGTGATCTCAGATTCACCAGAAGGTAGTACTATAAGCCAAAAATTCTGAGATTGCAGCTAATAGCTTTCTCAGAATTGGGGAAATTGAGTGCAGAGATATGAGTTAACTGCAATATTTTGCTGCCATACATATTTTCTTTATTGACTGATGGTAAACTTTTTTATAGTATTTAATGTAATTTATTTTTTTTCTCCTTTCAGACAAGGTTTTCGGATTGACCATTGCTGTGATTGTCCTGGGTCTCACATTATTTGTTCTTGCAGTCATGTTAATTTTCTGTAGGAAACGATTGCTGGGAGCCAGTTATGAGGCAGTGTGATGAAATGACTGGAGAAACGCTCAGTCTTATGTCAGTAAATGCGACATTTTATTGAAATGACCAGGCATAGAAACAAGAGAAGAGGCTACTAAACATCTGACACAAAGGCAGATAAAAAAGAAATATCATTGGTGCTAAGTATCCATCAAGAGAACAGTATGTTGTAAAATCAGAGTATGTTCTCATATGCAAGTGTTCACAAGTGTATGCTTTGGCGAAAGGTATTAATATAAATATGGTCACCATGCTAAGGGTGCAGAATAAAATACTGCCCCAGTTAATGGAATATATAGTACATACCGCAAAAAAAAATTAATGAAGCAGATGTGCACTGTTCACAAATTTCTTTTAAAACAGTGTTCAATTAATATAGATTTTGCATTTTTTTTTTTAAAACAAAATCCTCTCTCATCATCCCCCTCATCCCCAGACCCTCCTCATTACAGCTAGCAATAGAAATTATGCCTCCAATGCCTTCAAACTGCTCTTGTTTATGGCCCTTGCTTCAATCTTTTTGATCTATAGTCTACACAGGTATCAGCTGCTGCCATATAGACAATGCCCATGCTCAGCACACATGTGAAGGACTGTTGAGACAATATTATATGAAGTGAAGGAAAAAGGCCAGAAAATGAGAGCAATATGGAGTGTATTTTATAATGGAACACACAATTGAAGACAAATGTACAGATGATTGACTGGCAAAGTCAAGCATACATTGTAAACTGGATTATCTCACAAACTCAACCTGTAACCATGAGTCACCTTAATGCCGAGTGCCTAACCATACTTGCCATGGTCATGCAGAGAACCAAGAACCCTACATGTCACATAGAGTGCAATATGAGGATAGTGGAAGGGGGTGGAATTCCTGTGGGTGAAAGGTCAAACTTACTTAGACAACAAATACTATAGAGAGGTCGAGCTTTGCTGTACAATGAGTTGTGTTTATTGCTTGGTATATTTACTTGTTGTAAATTGTAATTTCAGCAGCATCTTTTTTTACCTAATGGCTAGGGATGCACAGATACTTTTTGAGTACCAGTGCAGATACTTGGCATTTTCATGAGAACTACCAGGGTTGCAGCGGTTGCAGCCTGGACCTAGCTCTGGTGCTCCACCACTGTCCTGTAATCATTAATCTGTATTGTTTTAGAAAAACTGTCACATGACAATAAACAAAAATGTATCAGTACTCGTACTTGTAAGTACTCGGCAAGTACAAGTACTCGTACTCGCAAAACTGGTATCTGTGCATCCCTTTATTTATAGTTATAAAAACAAAAGCATACATTAAAACAGAGATGTACAAATCCCAGGAGCGCCGTGTGCTCCTTACAAATGACAGCTGCCTCCTAATTTTTTAATTTTTCTCTAGTCTAGTCTTGGAGCTCAAAAGTATCGGTACATGTACTCGTACTTGTACCGAGTACTGTACTTTGTATCTGTGCAACCCTACTAATGGCATTTGGTAACTATTTGCCTAATGTGCAAAAACATGCTAACATGTATAGTTGCATATAACAATAAATCAGATTCCTTAATTTATTTTCAAACATGAACAGTAAAAGGGAAAGTTGATTATTTACTATGCGCAACAAAAATGTTACCTTTAGACCACTTTTTATACATTAGCCCTCTAGGCTAGGGCTACATGAGCTACTATTCTTTGCTGCTAACAGATTAAACTGCTTGCTACTAGGTATCTTATAATAATAGGGCTGTGTGACCAATGATGCCAACTGAAGTGGCTGCGTCAGGCAGCAGTCCTGGAGGTATGGTAGGGGCAGCGCTTGGGCCGGAGTGTCCATACAGCACACTCAGTTCATAATTATCCCCAAGGATCCACAGCATCATTGTGTGTTATGGTTCAGGCGGCTGCCAGCGACCAAGCAACCAAGGACACTGCGCAGCCAGCTGTCAGTTTTCTAGCAAACAATGACACTGTGCAGTCAAACCTCCTACATTCTAGGGTAGCGTCATTCACCCCTGGTCTGGCCCTGTATAAGGATCACATTGATTTCAGTGCGCTGCAAATGCAAAATCTCAGTAGTAAAAACAATTAATAGTTTGGGTAGCCCTATCCTAAGTCTTACATTTTCATACATGACTTTAATGTGTAGTGCTGACTCAAAGCACTGATGCAAAATGATTTACATGGAAGCCAGGCAACTAGCATTTGCAGCATGAAAAGTCAGCAAATACAGTCTCCATGTTCTCTTAAATATGGTGTGCAAGTTATGTCTTTTAATTGACTTGAGGTTAAGAAGCCTCAGGAAACATGTAAGAAAGAAACAAAAGAACGGCGCCTTCTCCACATGAAAGACCCTTTATTTATCCAATGAAAGCTGAATAAAATAATACTCACAAGCGGTGTTTTGTTACATGAGATTTCAGAACAACCTTCCGGACTGATATACAGAATACGGCATAGGCTGAACGCTTAAACAACCGAAATGTGAACCAGAGCCTTAGTCTTTCTGGGGCGTTTTAAGGGATACACCCTCTTCATCAGAGCTCCAAGCATCAGCCCCGTCTTCTCCCTTTGGATCTCACTTACCACTTGCTCTGATGAAGAGGGTATGTCCGTTCAGCCTATGCCGTATTCTGTATATCAGTCCGGAAGGTTGTTCTGAAATCTCATGTAACAAAACACCGCTTGTGAGTATTATTTTATTCAGCTTTCATTGGATAAATAAAGGGTCTTTCATGTGGAGAAGGCGCCGTTCTTTTGTTTCTTTCTTACATGCTTTCTGAGGCTTCTCAACCTGTTACGGAACAGCAGCCCCCTTCGTGCCATCTTATTGATGTCCGTCTTTGATTATCCTTTCCATATGATGTTGTGAGACCCCCACACCAAGAGCTGACTGATTTAAAAATAGTCTTTCCACTCATTTAAAGCTGAACTCCAGGGTAAGCAAATATTGTAAAAAAGAAATACAAGAGGCATGTGTACTTTTACCTGAATCTTGCAGTGATATGTGTATTCCTTCCAGATCTGTGCAGTAATCCAGAGTAAAACTTTACCTTTGTGCAAGAGCTTCCTGTAATGAAGACCAGTCACTGTTGCTCTCTCTCCCTATACAGGGTGACTGGTCTTGTCTCCACCACCTCCTGCAGTTTTCTGCAGACAGCCTGTAGTAGGTGAGCCTGCTGGCCTGCCCACTACATGCTAATATCTGGATTTCTAAAGGCATTTGCTGCACACAATGTAGATTTATATCCTTTGTGGCTACTGAGAATAATATTTAAACCCTTCATGACGGGAGAGGTACACTGTACGTTCGCCACGAAGTGCCCAAATGACTGGCCACGTACATTGTACATGACCAGTTATTTGCGGCTCTGTAATGTTGGTAACCGCTGATTCTCAGCGGTTACCTTTCATTAATGAATGCCTCAGTATTGAGGCATTCATTAATTAAATAGTTACGCTTTTGTAAAAGCTTCTTTCTTTCATTAATGAAAGAATGAAGCCGGTACATACAAATACTGGATCACTATGATCGCTAAATAGCGATCCGGTATTTGACAGCTAAAATAGCAGGGAGGTAGCAGAGTGAGTCACCTCTCTGCTATTTGTCTTGACAACTGGAATGTTTTCAAAGTTGTGTGATACAATTTCAGGCACAATGTTACAATGTATCTCTGTGCCTGAAATGTATCACTTCTGATCGTCTGGGCACAATCAGAAACCTTTAGGCCTTGTTCACACCAAGCGCGGAGCAGGTGCAGAGCAGAGCAGGTGCAGACCGGATCAAAACTGCGTCCAATGTATTCCAATGGTAATTTTTGCTCCAGTTCACATCGCAGCGTGCAGTTCCAGAGCAGATCCAGAGCAGGTGAAAAAACTGCAGCAGGCCCTATTTTACCTGCTCTGGATCTGCTCTGGATCTGCAAACGCATGCAAATGCCTAGAACGCACTGAAAGCCCATGTTAAAATTAAAAATAAAAATACGGCCCGGAACGCATCAAAAAGACGTCAAAAATGCGGCACAACCCACTGCACTGCGTGTGCAGAACCTGAGCGGATATGCTCTGCATTTGATGTGAACAAGGCCTTAGTGAGATCTGAGTCTGACATGCTGTCAGGATCAGTCTCTAAGGTTATTATTAGCTGTTCCTAAGTTTGGAGCAGTCTAATAATAACCAAAAATGTAAAAAGTAATTAAATTATCAAGCAGTCATAGTGACTGCTTGCTATAATTGACAAAAAAAGTGTAAACATTTTTTTTTAAAAAGTGTAATAGTAAGAAAGTATATTACTGCTGTGGAAGAATCACACAGCAAAAAAGGAAAAAGTGTGTCAGTCATTTACGAACAGAAACTGAAAAAAAGCTCAGTCATGAAGGGGTTAAATAAATGTTTTGTGCCCGGAGTTCAACATTAAATGACAGTTTAGTTATCAAAGAGATGTAATTGGTTTTAACTTTTCCTTTGATTTTTTTTCAGCCACAGAAATGTGGATATAAGTGAGAAATACGGATGTAAAGTAGATTGTGGATTGACCTATTATAATTAATTTGGGAATTCTTGTAGAATACACTGTGTTCAGATTTCCTATTGTGCAGAAATATAACAAAATAAACTTTTAAAGCTATATTTGTATTATCTATTATGTATATTTTAATATAACGCAAGGCTTATGGGCAAGCAAGGTATTACTTGTGTCAAAATCAGAACTCTTTTTTTTTTGTGCTTTTTTTTATTTTTATGGTAAAATTTGATAATAAAAATATTGTTGTGAATTGTTTCTGTCTAAAATTAATTTGATGTCGCTAGGCAAAGATTTAAAAAATGCTGTTTAGTTTAAGGACTTATCAAGTTAAAAACAACATCATATTCAAAATGTAGCAAGGTTGGTTTAATTGACAGCAGTACACCACAAATTCAAAAATTCCTGATATATCTTTGTTTTATTTGTAATGTATGAACACATAAGGTTAGAAGAACTAGACCCGATGATTTTTGTATAAATCACTAACCTTGCAAGTCTGCATAAATAAATCC